TTAGCACCAGGCCATGGGACACAGGGTTAGAAGTGGCCCCTCCAGCTGTGCAATATCAGGCAACTTGCTAAGACTGGCTGTCAGGGTCAAGTTGTAAAAGCTGTCCCTCACAACATATAAATGACAGCAAAGGAAATTAACAAAATCTTGAGTAAACAGAAGAAAATTACCTGGACCTTTATAATATGTTCTGTATCACAAGAGAAGAGGAAAAATAAAAAAGAATGAGGATAATCTGTTCCCTGAAGTAAGTTTACTTCAGGTTACAGAAAAATAAATAAAAACAGCTGTTTTCTATTCTCAATAAGATGTAATATTTAGGAAGTAAGAACATACTGAGATAAGTAGGAAGTACAAATAAATGAAAATCACAATAGAGCAAAGTAAATTTGATTCTTAGAAAATTATTTTAATGAAACAGAAGAGAAACTTGAGATATCCTGATGGGTTCTTTTTTCTGAACGAAAGGCACAACAAAGATTACATCTTCTCCAGTGTTTGAGATTTATAAGACTTGATTATATGCATTTCAGATGGACTAAACACATTCATATTACTCCACTAAAATGACAGCAAAGGAATATATTCATATCATACACAAATTTAACTCAAAATGGACCATAGACCTACATGTAAGAGCTAAAACTGTAAAACTCTTAGAAGAACACATAGACATAAATCTTGTGACTTTCATCCTTTCAGTTAAGCGATGGTTTCTTGGATATTACACCTAAACTACAAGCAACAAAAAAAAAATAGTAGATAAACTGGACTTTATCAAAATTAAAACATTAATGGTTTATTTATTCATTTATTTATTTTTTTTTTTGAGCTTTGTTGCCCAGGCTAGAGTGAGTGCTGTGGCGTCAGCCTAGCTCACAGCAACCTCAAACTCCTGGGCTCAAGCAATCCTCCTGCCTCAGCCTCCTGAGTAGCTGGGACTACAGGCATGCGCCACCGTGCCCAGCTAATTTTTTCTATATATATTAGTTGGCCAATTAATTTATTTCTATTTATAGTAGAGACGGGGTCTTGTTCTTGCTCAGGCTGGTTTTGAAGTCCTAACCTCGAGCAATCCGCCCACCTCGGCCTCCCAGAGTGCTAGGATTACAGGCGTGAGTCACCACGCCCAGCCAAACATTAATGTTTTAATGATACAAAAGACAGCATCAAGAAAGTAAAAAGACAACTCACAAATATATTTACAAATCATATATCTGATAAAGGTCTTGCATCTAGAATATATAAAGAATTCTTACAACTCAACAGTAAAAAGACAATCCAACTAAAAAATGGGCAAAGGATCTGAATAGACATTTCTCCAGAGATGATGTACAGGTGGCCAATAAGCATGCAAAAAGATTGTATGACATTATTAGCTATCAGGGAAATGCAAATTAAAACTTAAATGAGACACCACTTCACACCTTCTAGGATAGCTGTAATGAGAAAAACAGATAATAAGTGTTGATGAGGAGGTGGAGAAATTGGAACCTTCATATACTGCTGGTGGGACTGTAAAATTGTGCTGTTGCTTTAGCTAACCCATCTTGCGGTTCTTTGAAAGGTTAAACATAGAGATACCATGTGACCCAGCAGTTCCACTCTTAGGTATATATCCAAGAGAAATGAAAGCATATGTTCACCAAAAAACTTGAACATGAATAGCAACATTATTCATAATAGCTAAAAAATGAAAACAACACAAATGTTCATCAACTGATGAATGTATAAACAAACTGTGATCCATCCATACAATAGTATATTATTTGACAACAGAAAGGAATGAAGTAATGATGCATGCTACAACATGGGTGAACCTTAAAAACACATATTAAGTGAAATAAGCCAGACACAAAAAACCACTTTTGTATAATACCATTTATATCAAGTATCCAGAATAGTCAATTCTATTTCTGTCCAGAGATAGAAAAAAGAGTAGTGGCGGGTGAGGGATTGGGGAGGAAACGGAATGACTATTGATGGGTATGGGGTTTCTTTTTGGCGGTGATAAAATGTTCTATAATTGATTTGTGATGGTTGCATAACTCTATGAATATATTAAAAACCATTGAATCATATACTTTAGGTGAATTTTATGGTATGTGAATTATCTCATTAAAGCTATTATTTTTTAAAAAGGTATAAACTCATAAAGGGATAAAGAGAGTAGAGGAGATAAGAGAGGACAAAAGATTACCACCCCCCTAAAATGTTCGTAAGATAGAAAGCAAATAGATGAGAAGTTATTGACTTAGCAGAACAGAAGAAGCTGTAATCCAAATGCCTAGAAAGACACAAATGAGAGCCAAGGCTTTGGCTTTAGCCTCTTCCCTGTTTTTTTTTTTTAAATAATAGCATTAGAGAGATATGATCCACATCAAAAAGACTACAGCATTAGAGAGAGATAATTCACATAGGACATCAAAAGACTCAGAAATGAAGGAATCAAGATTTTCAGAAGGCAGGAGCGAGGCATAGAATGAAACTAGGGCATAGTCAGGAAATTGTTCTTTTCTCACTCTGGGACAAGATGATTTATTTTCTGAAGATTGAACCAGGCACAGCAAAGGGTCAGGATAAGTCAAAATACTCCAAATAGGGAATGAATGCAAGTCTCCATATGAATTCTGAGAAATCCATTTCCTAATCTCTACCTGCATTTCAGAATGCTGGCAGCCAGATTTATATTTCCCAGCAGGAGAATGGCAGATTTTCTCAAATATAGTCCCTGAAAAAAGACCTAAAAACATTTAAATTTAGGAGCACCCACTAAGTGGCTGGATCCCATATATATGTTACCATCACACATCATATCTTTTCAATACCTGACTCTTAAATGTGATGAGCATTTCAGGAATGCCACCAACATTAAAGACAAAAGGAAAAAACAAACCCAGAAAAATTAAAGATAGAGCAAGAAGTTGAAAAAACTTTAAAAAAGCCTTAATATCCTCAATGTGGTAAAAGATGATACTCTATCCATATAATAAGAATTATAAGTTATTCAAAAAAATGAGAGAACTCTTGGAAATTAAAAGAGAGGATAAAGTTGAGGAAATATCCCAGAAAGTAAGTAAAAAGATAATGGAAAACAGAAGGAAAAAATTTTTTAATTGGCACATAAATCAAGGAAGCCCAACATCCAAGTAATGGGAATTCCAAAAAGATAAAACAGAGAAAACAGAAGAGAGGAGATTATCAAAGACATAATATAAAAAAATTTTCCCTATACTGATGATGTGAAAGTCTAGATTGAAATAGCCCATCAAAGGCCCAGCCAAATGAGTGCCCAAGGCATGTCATTGTGAAGGTTTGAGCACACTGACTGAAGAAAAATGAAGATTCTGAAAGCTTCTAGAGAGAAAAGACTAGTCACTTGTAAATATCAAGAATCAAAATGGCATTGGACTTACGGACTTTCTTCATTAGAAGTTAAAAGACCTGAAACAATCTTCAGACTCATGAGGAAAATGATTTCTACTCAATAATTCTCTTCTAAGCCAAACTAAACTCTCAATCAAATGTGAAGCTAAAATGATGATATTTTCAAGTAAAAAAATTATCTCCTATCAAGCCTGTCTCAGGAAGCTGCTGGAGAATATGCTCCACAAAAATTATGAAAAAGGAAGACTCAGGATTCTGAAAATGTAATCCAATATAGAAATATTCCTGGGAAATACCAAAGGGAAGTCCCAGGACAACTAGTCCAGTTTGGAGCAGGAGGATGAATGTTCCCTGCAAAATGTTTCCAGAAAAGAATGGATTGAAAAGATTTCCTGATAAGTTTGTTCAAGTAAAAAAGTATTGAGAGGAATTTTATAGTTCTATTGGAGAAGAATTAGTTATAAGATATAAAAAATACTGGTAAAACAAAAGACTAAGGAAAAAATTAAGGTACAAAAATTGTGTCAAATGGAAGTATGATCATTTTATACTAGATCAGCATATGAATAATAGTCACAAATTCATAATAATGTAAGTGAATTTTGATTTAACTATAAACTGTAATAGTTTTAACTTATATTGGAAGAATGGGGAAGTAGAGAAGAAGTATAAGAGTGCTAAATACTTATCTCCCATGATACACAGTCAATATACAATATTTAAGATTGATAATGTCATTTAGAAACATGGACATAAACTCTAGAAGAAACAACTAAAAATGTCAAAGGTAGCTATTTCTGGGTAGTAGTTAAATTTGGGGGGAGGGACTGCTTTTTTAAAATTATAAACCTTATGATAGTGTGTATATATACACATACACCTTAATGGCATATATACATATAATTACCATGATGAAAAAATATTTTACAAATTATCTTAAATTAGGCCATAATGAACACCTCTATAAATCTGGCCATATTTTCTGACCAGAATGAAATAAGAGTAAAAACAAATTATATGTTTAAACCGACCAATCATATGTTTAAAACAAACCAAATCTCAACCCCTAAGAGATTATAACATAATTCTACAATATAACAGGCCAAGAAAGAAAAGCTCAATTTGGAAAATAATATAAAAGGAAAATACTACCTCTCAAAACCTAGCCAAAGCAATTCTTGGCAGTAAACTCATAGTTCAAATGTACATTTTTTTTTAAAAAAGGCATTTAACTTAACATTTTAGAAAATGAATATCCCCTTCAAAAAAAATACATGGGTGAAAACAATAATATTAAATATGCTAAAAACATATTCATTTAGTAATTTTCTATATGTTTTTCCTAATTTTTATGCAGTCTGGATTTCTAGTAATTATTTTTGAGGTGTCTGGTTGGTTGTGTCTTTTTAGGCCTTAAGTACAGATAGTTTGAAAATATCAACTCGCCTGAACTTGTTGGACCAAGAGCTATCCGAAAAGAGTGTGCAGCTCCAGGGCAGCACAGCTGAGGAGCAAATAAAGATTTCAGAACAAGTTGAAGCCCTCCAGAAAGAAAAGGATCAGCTCCAGAGACAAAGAAACAGTGTGGATGAAAAACTTAAAAATGGTAGAGTGTTATCACCTGAAGTAAGTCAGTATTCTTTGGAACTGGAGGTGCTGTATGATGGATCACTTGAGTGATTTCCTCAGTCTCTTTCACATAATCATAAAAGTGATAAATCTGGTAAATTTGGTTTCCCTGAGACTTTGTCAGATGTAATGAGTTCACCTGGCACCTGTTTGGCACCATAAACCATGCTTGACTAGAGAGACTGAGATGTCCTCACATAGTGATCCATGGACGTGGCCCCTTCCTGGCACTGACAGGCATTAGGAAACTAATATTATACTTTCCTTGAGTATGGCCACCTTCTCAGCTGGAGTTTTTCATCTGAAATCACAGAACACAGAAAATGATTTCAGGGACTCTTTTCTCAATTTTTCCAAGGAGGGCACCTAACTTTTCTCTATACATCCTTCGTGAGTGACACTAGGTAACTCATTACATACAATGGATACCTTTCCACGGTTCAGAAAGGCTCAATGTTGGGGAGTATATTCCACACTTTGTCCAGCCAAATAGATACACAAAATCCAAATTACAGTAAAATACCTTTTAGTTATATAATTGTTTTCATTTAGGGGAACCTATGGCTCCTCTCGCATTTATTTTTTTTAAACTATGTAATAGATGATTCATTTATTGGCTATCAAATTGCCCAAGACTTTGTATTTTTTCAAAATTTTAATTCAGCCAGCAGTGGTACCTATACCTTACTTTATTAGACAAAGATGACCTAATGACCCTGAAGTTTCTCTGTAAATATTTATTGTTGATATCCTTATCAAAGCAAGGGAAAATTGCTGAGAAAAGGTGAGTACCTGGGAATCACATACCTAGCTGAATCTTGTAGTGTTTTAGATTGGAGTGATTGGGAGGAAATTAAGGGGGTTAGTTAAGAAACAGGAGAAAGGATAGCATGAAATTAGATTATTGCTCATTGAATTGATGAAAGGAATTAAAAACTAATTCGATTAGGGGCTAAGTGGCAGCTGAAGAAGCATTTTAAGCCTTTACTGCCCTGTTTTATAACTTAACTTGGATGGCTGTGCAGAGGGTTGAAGAATCAGGGTGTCTTTCCAAGGTGTTAAGTTGGAGCCCCAAGCTTGTAGATTTGAAGGTATAAGAGCCTAAGACACAGCAAAACGTAAGTATTTAAGGGATTTTGCCTGCCCAGAACTATTAGTAGGCCCTATGGAAGAAACAAAAAAAGTAGAAAGTATTATGCTTCCCTTGAGAAATTCATACTCTTATCTGGGAAAAGAGAGAAATACAAGAAAACTCTAAACCCTGAGGAATATAAAAAAGCAAATTATGGATAATGTATTAAAGCTATACCTCTTATATTATTTATGCAAAGCAATGCCATGATTATTTGGGAGAAGATTCATCAAGGCAGCCTCAGGGGATTGGAATCTTGAGCTGGATTATGAAAAACATGATATGTACTAGCAGATATAAGGAAAAAGGCCATTTAGATAAAACATCCTTAAATAAGGCACAGAGATGGGAATGAACAAATTCTGTGTGCAGGAGGGTAGAGTTCTGTTATTATCAAGAAACATTTAGGTTTCTGTTTCATGTGGAATTCTGTAACTAAAAACATTATTTACAGACTTGTAAAAATATAGTACCTTTTATAATACCTATTTAGCAGCCACTCTGGATTGGTTTGAAGGAATGCTGAGCTCTCTACAATTGGTGGGGTTCCATTTAGCCGTGAGCTTCTATGCACCCTCCTTCTACATCATTGGTTCTTCACTATTTTAAATCCAAGATTAATATTCCCATATAGATTTGCCAGTAGCAGATGATCAAGAACATGAGATTCTGATGTGACACAAGATATCAATAAAATCTAGGTGGAATAGTTTGCTCTCTTTAAACTTTCTTAGGATTATTTTCTCTTTCCACAGTAAATTAAAACATTTTTCCTGATTGTATTACTTTATGAGAAGTGATAGAAAGATTTTAGATTTCTATACTAATAGAGTAATTACCCAACAATTTACTATAGACAAATCACCTCCTCTTTTTTCCATAAAATCCAGAAACTAAAATTAAAAAAATAAAAGAATACTTGAACTCTAGCTTTCTAGTAATACAGAGTAGTTGCTTAGTAAGCGGGGGATAGGAAGAACGATTATGTTTATTTAATCTTTTAAACTTTCAATTCCACATTTTATAATTATAACATTCATATAATTTATAGAAAAATACACACATATGAAGTGCTTGTTTGAAAGTTTTTATTTTTATTTTGTTTTTTACTGGTAGAAATGTGTGATCAAAAAAGTGTGGGGGCCACCAATGCTTTAGGTCCTTGCTACAGTGTAGTCTCTGGACCAGCAGCAACAGCATCACCTGGAAGCTTGTTAGAAATGCAGATCTCAGGTCCTACCCAGACCTGCTGAATCAGAATCCGAATTTTAACAAGCTACTGGGTTCACATTAAAGTCTGAAAAGGAGAGCTCTGTAAAAAAGCACAGTCAACTCTTGATAATTTGTGGCTTGTGTTGTAGCAAATTTTTCATCTCTGAACCGTCTCCCATTGCCACTTATCTTGTCAACCTACACCTATTGTTAGAGGGAACCACAAACATTTATATGCTACAGGCTCACTGGAGCAGCCTACCCTCAATGTTCTATAGTCATTCTACCTTATATCATCTTGGTACTTCCTTAACTTAGATCCAAAACTATAGAAACTAAATTTGTGCTAAATTGTTCTCAGCCATATATAAGGGCAAACTCTTTTTACATTTGTTTTTGGTAAAATATAATCACAGTATGAGATTAAAAGTCAAATAAAGTTAAGTCCTAACTTACTGTCATCAGTAGGTTCTTGGAAATTGCAACTTTAAGTGAAACGACATAAAGGAAACCAATATTTTTCTTTCTCATCAATGTTATAACAAAACAATGCTGAAAGAAATGACATTATTGGAGGACCTGCTATATGTCATTTGACTTAAAGTCAGTTCCAAGAACCTACTGATGACTTTAAGTGAGGACTTATTTTATATTCTTTGGATGCTTTTTTTTTTTTTTTAAAGAAACAAGGTCTCACTCTGTCACCTAGGCTGAAATGCAGTTGTGCGGTCATAGCTCACTGCAGCCTCCGACTCATGGGTTCAAGTGATTCTTTTCCCTTAGCTTCCCAAGTAGCTGGGACTACAGGCACATGCCACCATGCCCAGCTAATTTTTAAATTTTTTTGATAGAGACAACATCTTTCACTATGTTGCCCAGGCTGGTCTTAAACTCCTAGCCTCAAGCAGTCCTCCCTCCTTGGTCTCCCAAAGTGCTGGGATTACAGGGCATGAGCTACACCTGGCCAGATAATTCTTTTTTTTTTTTTTTTTTTTTTTCAGATAATTCACTTTTATTTATAGCTCCTTTTATTCATTCTCCTAAGTACCTTTCAGTATTTAAAGATTTTTTTTCCTTAAGGTAAATAAATTATTCCTTATAGAACAGTTATCAAATCATCAAATTTTCCTGATGGTTAGTGATTGCACAGAGAAATAGAATGGCTGTTGGACATTTTTCTTCCTAAATGACTCTTTCAGAAGATTTTATAAAATGATTTTTAAAAATGAGTATTATTCAGCCTTCCACTGGAATAGGTTCCAGAAGTCACTCTATTCTTTAGCTATATCAGAAATATTCATATTCTTTTCTTTGGGATGCTAAGGGGAGGAGTGGGGAGAAATAATTTGGGTCATATAACCACAGACACATGAAAATATTTTTTTCTCCTCTTCCTTCCTTAACTTATTCAACAGATACTTACTGAGTTTAAACTATGTGATAGGTACTTGCTAGGCAATAAGGATATGAGTATGAACAAGACAATATACCTTCAAGGAACTTAAGTATAGATGACTTCCATAACAGGTATAGGTATACAGAAACATATATCCAAATCTCACCAATCTGAAATAATTTCTTACCAGAGATTTGCATCTCCAAAATAACATATATTTGGATAGTTCAAAGAACTGGGATAGCCAGGCATGATGGAGTGGTCCTGTAGTGCCACTTGAGCTACTTGGAAGGCTGAGGCAGGCGGATTGCTTGAGCCCAGGAGTTTGAATCCAGCCTGGGCAACAGAGCAAGGCCTTGTCTCTTTAAAAAAAAAAAAAAAAAAGGAAAGTAAAAGAACTGTTAAGTTCTCTGACGAAGATTTATTAGATTTTTTCCCCACAAAGGAAATCTCTGATATATGAAAAATATGCTGCTACTATTTTTAATATCTATATTTTCCCTTTAATAACATTTCATAGGAATCTTATGAAATGTTTCACATCCTTAACTCCTCATTTTTTTATGCCATACTGTTTTTTTCCCTCAGAGACTTCTCTGATTATTAGTTCTTAATAACTTATTCTAAATGTATCTCTTCTTTCCTTCCTAGCAATGTATTGTTTTGATAGATCATTGAAAGGAAAGGAGTGGGTCTCTAGATCTCACTAGTGGAAATGCTGACACATAATATACACTTTGGAGTTGTGGAGGGAGATAAATGACAATACTACTAATCTTGTGGGCTGAGGCTTTGTTCAAGTGTATTCACTGGATGAGGTGATAAGCATTTGTTGTATGACCTTGGAACATTTCAGAACTCATCTAAACTACTGACTTCCATTTTATTCCTCAAGGTATATTTGAGGACTCAATGATTACATGTTGTATATACATATGAGCACACATAGTGCATTACATAGCATAGCAAACAAACATATTCTTAAAATTTAGTAAAAGAGTAGTAATGTCTATTAGACTCAAATAGCATACTAAGATGTAAGTATAAGCCAAAGTCCAAATGTATTATTTCATTTAAAATGAGTGATTTCTATTGTATTATATCCAGGAAGAACATGTTCTTTTCCAACTTGAAGAAGGGATTGAAGCTTTGGAAGCTGCAATTGAATACAAGAATGAAAGTATCCAGAGTCGCCAGAACTCGCTTAGAACATCATTCCAAAACCTCTCTCGTAGTGAAGCAGATGTCTTGGAAAAACTAACTTGCCTGAGTCCGGTTGAGATTAGAGCTATTCTTTTCAGATACTTCAATAAGGTTTGTTTTTGAGGGACAGAATATTTTTCTTATAAAGAGGGGTCAAGATGCTTATGTATCCCGTGTTTATTTTAAATTTTTAAAGAAATTAAAAGGCTTAAAGATTTGATGATGCAACTACAAATTTAAGCATGAGTTCTCTTTATAGTACTGAATGCTATCATCTCAAAGCTTTGTGATTATCCAAATCTATAGGGCTAACTTTGTGAGTTTGCAAAGTTTGAGGGCCTTTTAAAAGAAAGCCTTTTGGAAATAGTTTTAGATACCAAAGAATTTAAGTTATATTCCTTGCTCATTATTTCTTGAATGTTTTTTAGATTTGGATGCTTTTTCATAATATTCATGAAAAATCAAGGGCCCTCCAGGTTTTGATTACCCTTTTCTTCACTGATGTAGGGTTGTAGAACCTGTACTTTCTCATAATGTGTGAGTTGAAATGGAGATGAAGTGGTACATTAGTAGCAGAGATACTAATAGATTTTATTAACCTGCATTTGCTTAAATTTATTAAAATATTTTATACAAATTTGACCATTTACTGATCCAGAGATGTTTCATAGCATTGAGAACTACATCCATCTTCTCTCTAATGTCTTTTCCACTTAGAATATATATTATGAAGTGTTACACAACTAGATAACTTTTTTCCCTGAAAAGTATATTCAATGTATGGGAATATCAGACAATGAAGGAAAAATAAAACACTGAAGTTTTAAAATAAAGTTCTAATTCTGTGAAATAAAGATGAAAAATGAATGAAAATGTTATACACGGCTTCCTCTTGTATAATCACTCTCAGTAGTAAGCTAGTATTAATATTACTGATGAGAGTAGTCCTATCACTATGTGTTTGAAGGGCAGAAAAATAGGATTATCAAAGGCTTCGATATAGATAACTCTTTTGTGGTACTTTTAAAGCAAGAGTTCTTAACCCAAGGTACCTCTGCCAAGGTCAGTGGATTTTCTGATCCTGGACCCTTTGTATTAATGAGTATTTTTTTCTGGAGAGAAGATCATTAGATTATTAACAAGTTCTATGATATAGACATTGTCTGAAGTATTTTTACTTCATATCAGCAGAGAATAACCCAGGAGACAAAATGCTTGACCTGAAACTGAACTCTGTTTATAGTTAAAAAATTCTGGCACTTACTTATAATGTCCATTTTGGAGTTAAAACTGGGAATTATCTAGATGTTATACAAGAGTCTTTAGCTTCTCACTGTCCACTTCGTCTAGAGAAAAAGAGAATTATAAAATGTAAACTTCAGAGATCACATCTAAGAAATTATGGAAGGGTAATTATTAGAGCAACATTATATTGAAAATGAAAGTGTTACCAATTCAGAATGCCCCCAAATTCAAAAGGCTGCTAGGTTATTTTGTGGATATGTTACAAAGCATTTACCTAATAGGACCCAATATCTTGGCAAGAATCACTTATACTATGGAGACTAAGGAAGTTCATCTTTATGTGCCTAAGAAAAGTAGATGAGTCCATTATATTAGGCTAAGACACACTTAAAAGGTCAAAAATATATTTTCTAGGTGGTTAATTTGCGAGAAGCTGAACGGAAACAACAGTTACATAATGAAGAAATGAAAATGAAGGTTCTGGAACGGGATAATATGGTTCGTGAGTTGGAATCTGCACTGGAACATCTGAAATTGCAGTGTGACCGGAGACTGACCCTCCAGCAAAAGGAACATGAGCAAAAGATGCAGTTGCTGTTATATCATTTCAAAGGTAACTGACTCTCTTCGTCAGTTACGTAAAGGTGATATATGAATGGAATATTGAGGAAAGAAGATAGGATAGAATTTGATTACTTAAAATCCCAACATGTTTAAATAGTTACTACTATAAACAAGTGTGTGGGCTTTACATGTTTTGGTTACTATGTTTTAGAATAGTTGACTTCATTGTAGGGCTATTCATGCTTGAAGTGTTATCCCCTTCTGCTTGCCCCCAGCACACACATAAGAACTGCTACAATCCTGTTAGTTTTTTGTTGGTCTAGTTTTTATATAGAAATATGGATTACTTCTGGATTTTTGGTTTACAGTTGAAAATTTTCTATTTCCATGGGATATAATACTATGATATTTAAATTATTTTTCACTCACAAAAATGGTAGTGGTAGGCTCTGTCATATTCCTAGTTCTATTTCTTGTTAAAATTTTCAATTTATAAAGTTGTATCTTAGGTCCAAATTAGTCTACCATTAATAGGCACCTACTTTTATTAGTAAGCAATAGTTCAACCATCAACTTCCATGTAGAAAGAGCTATCAAAGCAATTGGGCCAGTATTACCTGGGCATATGGCCAGTACACAAATAGCTGATACAGCAACAAAATCACTGCCAGGTGATACTGTTACTGCTGCAATCCAGTCTGCTTAGTCTTGATTCTCATGAATCCATAGCTGAAAATTTGTCAAAAGGGATTGGCATAAGCAGAAAATTGGAAAATATATGAATTTGAGTGCTGAGGCAATTTGTCTCTAAGTTAATTCTGTAACTGGTTAATTGCCTAATGACAGGATTTCCTTGACACAATATTGCATTTAAACATGTTCTTCTTACCTTAGTTTAGTTCTCTTAAGTCTCAAAAAGTGATATTTAATAGAATTTTTATGTATTTTTAGAGTGATTGGGATTATACCACAGAAGCTCATGCTATAGCTAAATCAGAACATTTTTAAAAATCATGGATTTCTATACCTATACAAGTTTTTATCACAAAGTTGTAACTACAATGTTAACAATTTATGAATTGTCTAATTTCAGCTGAATATGTGACACAAAAATTATACCCATTATGGGGATTCTGATTTTTTTTTTTTGGCTTAAATAGTGTTCTTTAATTGAGAAGAAAAAATAAAATGTACCAATTAAATTAAATGTGACTTAATACACTCACTGTGGAATTACATCTTTAAATTAATATCTGAATATCATTAAATTTTATAAAAGCATTATTAAAATCCATGAGCAGGTTATAAAAACAATACTTTATGAGCGCTGGAACAAGTAAATCATGACAGTTCTTGCAATGAGTAGCAGGTAAAAAACACACAGACAATATTTGCAGTAGGAGATTCTGGAGAAGGAGCCATGATATTCTTTTTTTCCCTCTGATTTATGATGTCATTAATTTTAAGTATTTTTAAAAAACAAGATGATGGGTTAATTTAAAATATACAAATATACTTAAATAAAATTTTACAAAACAGCCAATTATAACAAAAGAAAAATACAAACCAGAAGGACCATTTTATAAATATGCCAACAGGAAAAAGTAGGGCTGAAAGTCTTTATTTTCTAAAGGACAGTAACACTTGATTTTACTGATTCTAGAATATAACCCAATGGGGATAGTGTTAGACATTCATAAATATTAATTAGAAGCTTTAAGTTATGTTGTGGTATAAACTAGAACTTTACTTATGCTGGCTATTTTCCTTCTTTTTCTGTGGTGTTTTCCTTTGCAATTTAATCTTTCTAGCCTCTTTTAACAGGTTTTTGTTTGTGTGGGTTATTTGGCTTTATATTTTTTGGGCATATAAACCCTAGCCTTATGATTTTCCATACAACCATAGTTCCTGACATAAACCTTAAATAAGATTTAAATGCAGCTGATGGACAGAGTTCCAAACGTGAACTTTTTATAGAAATCACCTTTTGCTCTTCTATGGATAAGTCTAGTTGGTAGCTACTGCAAAAAAAGAAGAAGAAAATGCTTGTGGAAGCTGGGCATGGTAGCTCACGCCTATAATCCTAGCACTTTGGGAGGCTGAAGCAGGAGGATCTGTTGAGCCCAGGAGTTTGAGGTTACTGTGAGCTAGGCTGACGCCATGGTACTCTCTCCCACGCAACAGAGCAAGACCCTATTTCAAAAAAAATTCTTATGAATCATGAAAATATGGTGGTTAGTAGGGGGTAAGGTAGAGAAGGTGGCTAAGGGTTCAATTCTACTTTGAAATATTTTACAGGCAGAAGAATCCAAATTGCAGCTGCAAACAAATCCATTTAGGTAATAGATATATGTAACATTCTTCTGATCTTTTAAATATAGTCTGGGGGCTATGTTAAAACATAGTTTTGAATCATTTATTTAAAACTGATTTTAAATGTAAATTTTTGTTTTATAGAGCAAGCTGGAGAAGGCATTATGGAAACTTTTAAAACATATGAAGATAAAATCCAACAGTTGGAAAAGGATCTTTATTTCTACAAGAAAACTAGCAGACATCTTAAGAAGAAACTCAAGGAACTTGTAGGGGAAGCGGTTCGTTGGCAACTAACACCATCAGAATGTAAGACTTTCAGTGTTATTTGTCATGCTAACACTGTTTCTCCAGCATTTGGTAAAGTCCAGATTTGTAGTGTAGCCTTTTACAATTGATTTTGTTATTTAGGATTAAACACTTAATTCCTATAATTTTGTCTCTGTAGAGTTGTCTATATATAGAACTACACGAGAAGTGAATGAATGAATGAACAAATGTGTATGCGGTAGGAAACAATCATTTATTGATTGCTTGCCACATGCCAGGGGCTTTTGTAGTCCTTAATCATTTAATCCTTAAAATAACAGCTATAATCTAAGATAGCTGTTATCTAAGATAGCTGTTTCCCTATTTTATATTAAATTAAGCCTTCAATTGTCACAAAAAAAGATGTATAATAGATAATAATAATAAAAGTAAAGGTAAAAGTATGTATTTCTGGCAGGGTACATTGGCTCATACCTGTAATCCCAGCCCTCTGGGAGGCCAAGATGGGAGGATTGTTTGAGGCCAGGAATTCCAGACTAGTCTGAGCAAGAGGGAGACCCTGTCTCTACAAAAAATGGCGCATGCCTGTAGTCCCAGCTTTTCAGAAGGCTGAGGCAAGGAGAATCCCTTGAGCCAAGGAGTTTGAGGTTACGGTGAGCTATGATGACACACTTGCTCAAATGACAGAGTGAGACTCTGTCTCAAAAGAAAAAAAAAAAGTATATATTTCTAAGATAAATCAGGTCTTTTCATATTATACCTTTTAAAAGATAGCCAAATAGAATCAATATTTCTAAAATAATATACTCTACATTTTATTAACAAATTAGCTTATTTAGGAGAGAATATTCTTCTAATTAAGTATGATTTATGAAAAGCTAACATTAAAACCTTTTAGAAAAAAATTAAAAAAGAAATTAAAATTCTATAATATTCCAAAATTTAAAAACATTTAAAAAAACGTTTTAGGAACACACCTATTTTGTACCTGTAAAGAAAACCACCACATAAGATATAAAAAGACCAGTAAAAAATTATATGTAAGAGCAATGAAATGATATATGCTAAATATATGATAGAAGCAGAGTTAACATAGTTTTAAAATTTAAAACTCAGTATTATTTAGAAAAGTAGTTCTAATGCTACCTTATGATATTTATCACTTACAGACATTTTCACAAATAATTCCATTTAACCCTCAAACTTAGGGTAACTGGTATCTGCTAACTCTAATTTTAGATGAGGGAATTAATGCTTAGGCCAACTGACTCAGAAACAAAATAGTAACTAAAACATGGGCTAAGGTCCCTCATCTTCTGACTCCTGGTTTAGTATTCTTGGATAGAAGTTGTTTTAAGACAGAGCTATGACACAAAAATATGTAGAAATCCAGCCCAGAACACCAAATTTTCTTATTCTCAGTGTAATAATGTAGATGTGCTTACTGATACAACTCAAACATTTACTTGAAATACTGCCTGAAATACATAGCTATAACTTTTACTTGAAACACTACTTGTAAAAAATTAAAAAGTAAACAGGTATTAAGTAAGAAACAGAGAACCATCAACATAAGACCATTTTAGCTTTAAAAAAAAAAAAAAAACCTTTTGGCCAGGCGTAGGGGCTCACGCCTATAATCCAAGCACTTTGGGAGGTCAAGGTGGGAGGATTGCTTGAGGTCAAGAGTTCAAGACCAGCCTTAGCAAGAACGTAGACCCTGTCTCTACAAAATATAGAAAAATTAGCTGGGTGTGGTGGTGCGACCCTGTATTCCCAGCTACTCAGGAAGGTGAGGCTGGAGGATCACTTGAGCCCAGGAGTTTGGAGTTGCAGTGAGCTATGATAAGGCCATTGTACTCTAGCCTGGGTACCAGAGCGAGACACTGTCTCAAAAATAAATAAATAAATGAAGAAAGAATAAAAATAAAAAGTAGTATGCAGTCATTACAAA